ACAATGGGACTGTGAAAGAGCTGAGCAATACATTTTTAAAAATGGAAGGGGTAAGTGTTCTGTTGAGCAGCTGAGTTGCCCACAGCCCGTTTTAGAGTGCCTGGCTGTAAGTCCTGCTCCACCTGTGGGCCAGCTTCCTGCACCTGAGAGGCCCAGGTAAAAGCTCAACCAAAATTAAAATAAGAGCTATCTCCATATTAAGTGAATATAAATTTATACCTTTCCAATCTCTATGGACAGATGGCTTATTGATAAATTGTTGTGAATATTTAAGACTTCAATGACTAATTTTACACAAATATTAAATAATGCTCAATTCCTTTTAAAAGGACAGAATAACTTTGATAACACCATTTATCAACTTTCTAAAAACATAAAGATTACTAGTAATTTTTTTTTCCTCAGAGGCATTTTTTCTCAATGTTAGGTATGCTATACTCTACAGGAAATCTTTTTTCTTGCTCTATTTAAAAAAAAATTTTTGTAAATATTATAATTTTTATTTTGCCTTCCAGATTTAGGTTTATCAAATAAGGAGGGGGCTGTTAGCTGCCTTCATATTCAAGTTCCCACATAAATAAAATGAAGCTTTGTTTAAAATAATAGCCAAGATTCAATCAACAGTAGGACTGAGTTCCTGACTATTAGCTTTGGCCCTTCAGTCACCACCACCAGTTAGGAAAACATCAGATATGGAGCTCTCTCCCAAAATAAAAAATTGGGATTTTCATAATTCAATGGAAAAGAAGCTATCAGCAACATAACAGATTTGTCTTTAGTTCCAATACTTAATTTTGATTCAAGCACTGTTAAGGGAAGAATATTGTACATTTATTGACGTGGGGGTTGAGTGGACAGAAAAACTGGCACTCTTATTGCAGGCAGGCTGACTTTATATAAATACAAGCAAGAACATTTTTTTAAAAGACTCATTTGGAGGGCAGAGTCTAAGCTATATCCATTTCATCCACTGGTTCACTCTCCAAAGAGCTGCAGTTGTCAGGCTGGACTGAAGTCAGGAGCCAGAGCTGCTTCTGCTTCTCCCACAAGGACCCAGGCCTCTCCCTCTGCTTTCCCAGGTGCATTAGCAGGGAGCTGGATCAGATGGAGAGGAGCTGGGACACAGTGATGTGACCTTGTAAACCAGGAAGCTCTTTATCACTAAGTTCTCCAAAGTGAACAGACCATTTTCCCTCAGAATGCAGTGAAGTCCCAGTTTGGGAGGCACCGTAAGTGCTTCTCAAACAGTTTCCAAGCTGTAATGAACCAATACTTCTACATAATACAACGCTGGCAATGCCAAATGGTTGTAAAGATGTCCAGGTGTTGGGGCCCGGCGCGGTGGCGCAAGTGGTTAAAGGTCCTCGCCTTGCACGCCCGGGATCCCATATGGGCGCCGGTTCTAATCCCGGCAGCCCCGCTTCCCTTCCAGCTCCCTGCCTGTGGCCTGGGAAAGCAGTCGAGGACAGCCCAAAGCTTTGGGAACCTGCACCCGCGTGGGAGACCCAGAAGAGGCTCCTGGCTTCGGATCGGCATAGTATCGGCCCGTTGCGCTCACTTGGGGAGTGAATCATCGGACGGAAGATCTTCCTCTCTGTCTCTCCTCTCTGTATATCCGCCTTTCCAATAAAAAAATAATAAAAATAAATCTTTAAAAAGATGTCCAGGTGTTTACTTCTCAAATAGATTTCTAAAAAGTAGAGACTGGGAGAGACAAAGTTATTACCTGCTGTTTGTCTCCTCCTGCCCCCGCCCCAAACGCACACAACTAAGTGAGGCTAGGGGCTGAGCTAGCTCAAAGCCAGGAGCCAGTCAAACCGGCACTCTCAGGTAGATGGCAGGGTTCCAATTACTTAAGTCAATTACTTCCTGCCTAAGCAGGAAGCTGGAATCAGGGGACAGAGCTGGGAATCCAAACCCAGATGCAGGAAACGGGCACTCTAACTGGTCGACTACCTGGGTACCTTTCTATGCTTGGTTTTGTGCTTAATTTGAACACCGGTACAATCCAGCAAACTGTATGATAAGCACTAGAAAAAAATAGCCTGTAAGAAATGAGAGTCTTTTTTCAAGTTCACTTAGTCTTCCTTCCACTTTCTGTACTCACTGGGGATATGAAACTGCCAATTTCAACAATAACTTTAGTAATTTAGGAAAGGCAGTAATCTAAAATATATGCATTTCAAAGTATTAGGTTGAATTTTAGTTTTTAAAACTGCATTAACCTTTTTACTGAAGTGAAATATGCTTAATTTTATAGAAACCTACCTATCTGAATGTCCATGTAAAACTAGTTACAGAGGCTGGAACTGTACAGTGGTTTATAACACTACCCATGTCAACACTGGTTTGAGTACCAACTGTCCTACTTCCAATCCATTGCTGGCTATGCACCTGGAGAAAGGCAGGGGGAGACTGTCCCAGACTCGGGCTCCACCACCTGGCCCAGCTGCTGCAGCCATCTGGGGGCCGACCACTGAACGCGAGATTGCTCTCCGTCTCTCCCTCTCTCTCTGCCTTTCAAGTACATTTAAAAACAAAAAAAAATAGTTACAAAGACTTATTTTCAGCCATTTTCCACACCTAATTTTCTGGGTGTCAGTGTCTTGGTTTAAACTGATAATGAAATGTGTAAAAAAACTATAGCTGATCACACATTTGAAATTCCAAATTTATCCTAACAGCTGGTGGCAACACTAACAAAGTTACTTGGGGTAGGGATGATACATTCATGACGCTCAAAACCATCAGGTAAAGGATTACAAATTGCAAATTGGTGAAGAATTACCAATTTGGGAGGCAAAATTAAAGAACTGCCTTTGCTGTTTCCCCAGTATTACTTGTTACTGTTGTTGGGAAAAGATAATTTTGTTTAAAAATCTGGGGCCCAGCACAGTAGCCTAGTAGCTAAAGTCTTTGCCTTGCATATGCCAGGATCCCATATGGGCACTGGTTCTAATCCCGCCTGCCCACCTCCCATCCACCTCCCTGCTTGTGGCCTGGGAAAGCAGTCGAGGACGGCTCAAGGCCTTGAGACCCTGCACCCTCGTGCGAGTTCCAGAAGAGGCTGCCGGACTCCTGGCTTTGGATCAGTGCAGCTCCAGCCACTGCAGTCACTTGGGGAGTGAACCATCGGATGGAAGATCTTCCTCTTTGTCTCTCCTCCTCTCTGTATATCTCTTTCCAATAAAAAAAAAAGTTTTTAATCTGTCTGAAGTTTGCCTTTGAAAACTTATCTCCCACTTCCACCACACAGAATAACGTCTATTCAATCTATACTTTCAGTAGAAGAGGATGGTATCGACATTGCTAGAGATTGAGTCTCTACTGAGATTAGTACACGATACAAGTTCCCCCACTAACTGGATAGAAAACATTAAGTCCTATACTTACAAAATGACCTTAGGAATACATTTCTCTCTACTCTGTTCTTTGAAAGGCAAAGAGAGGAGGGGGAGTTCCCATCCGGTGGTTCTCTTTACCCCAGATGCTTACAATACCTGGGTGTGGGCCAAGGAAAGCCAGTTCTCCATGTGGGTGGCAGGGACCCACTGAGCTGCACCCCAACACGTGTGCATTAGTAGGAAACTAATCAGGAGCACAGCAGGACTCAAACTCACACACCCCAACAGAGGATGTGGGCATTCTAAACGTTAGGCCAAATGCTGGCACTTTCACGTGACGGATGCCCAAACGGACATGTGTCCACACGAAAGGAGTGTTCCAAGGCCACAATACTGGAAGGCAGGATGCCACGAAAAATGCTGGCTTCCCAATCCAGGGTCTATTCCCTTACAACCAGTTACATAATAAACCTGATGAAAAGATTAAAATAAGTACACCTGATAAATCCATCTCAGAATGAGGCAATTCTTTAAACACTATCGGCTCATATAATACACAAACTTTGTTTTCTTACAAAAGGTATCTAAAAATACATTCTGGAACCTGCATCCTTGCCAACAAGCACAATCAACCACCTGCCAATCATCATCAGGACATGAATGCTTGATCCTACCACAGTCAATCGGGAAGGTACCACCTGACCTGGAAGGAAGTGGGTACTGAGCAGACTCACGGCTTTAAGGCAGCACTTTCTTCATAGGCATTTGCTCTAACGTTATACAATAAAAAGTAAATTGGTTGAGCAGATCTCTCCGTAACTGTTGAAGCTGTTTACAGAAATTTTAAGCAAAACCTCCTTTCAAAGTTTATTCGCTTGTGCATTCGCACTGAACAGTTAAGTGCGAAAACCACCAGAGATGATATTCAAGGAAAATATTTTTTATAGTATGTAATTAAGTGAGAAAGCTGAAAAAGAAATGTCTTATTTTGGTGTCAGAACAGATAGGAATCCAAAATTTAAGTTTTTTCCCCCCCAAATAATTAAAGTGAAAGTCTGAAAATAAGAATCCAAGGAACCCTTCACTTCCCCCCCGCCCCTTGACTTCTGAAATACAGTGCAATGTCTACCATCTGTTATTTTAAAGCAGAAACAGTAATGAGCATATGGGCTCTCCCTCTCAAGCAGCTGTAGTGTAGTTAAAGTTATAATAATTGTCTTTCTGTAAGATAAATTTACATTAAAAACCTGGCCAGTTACAAACAAATGGCTCAGCCTCAGAGCCTTCCACAATAACATTAAGAAATTCTGAATCATCTATGACATTTCATTCAGAGATTTAGAGGAAATCCTCCAAATCTTGTGTTTTTATGCTTAAGGTTAAATAAACACAAGACACCGAAACCAGCCTATTCAGCCGGAGTACACAACTCATGTTTTCTTCCTTGGTCACACCAGGAGGAGCTGCCGCACTAACAAGCCAGTAGCTACGGTCCTGAAAGCTGAGCACATACAGCCACTGACTGAAAGGCATCTCTGAGGAAAACTTCAACCCATGTGGCCCAGATTCTTCCATCTCATTATCTTTTATAATGAACTTAAGTACACAAAGAGGATTTCACAGCATATCTCCATATTTTATGAAAAATACACTTACCTTTATCTGGGTGATTCAAAATCATGATTCTCCTATGAGCTGTTTTAATCTTGGCCTTACTGGCAGATGGGCTGTAAAAAGAAATTAAACTGCTTCTAATAAACAACACCAAATTCAGATCATAAATTAATTTATATAGGTTCTAAGAAATTAAAAACTAATGAGAATTTCACCATCTTGTGGGCAAATAAGAAATTACAGCTTTTCACTTAATTTCACTAACCATTAAAATAAATCATTGATTCAGTGTTCAGTTTGCTGAAATTGAGAGTCAGTTCTCATTCTGCATCAATTAAAAAAAATCAACACAACATATAGCTTAGTGGAGTCATAACCTGCAGATTACAAGTTATTTGGGGGGGAAAGTGGTGTACTGTATAGTTCTAGAATCCAGACACCTGTTTCCTAAACTGATGGATTTTAATACAATCATTGTCATTTGGCATTGAATAACTGCTCAAAATTTCCTTAAGTTTGTCTGTGAGATACAGAAGCAGAAGCAGCGTGCTCCCATCCTCTGGCACTCCCCCCACAAGGGTGCCCAGCAGCGAGAGCTGGGATGGGGGCACCATCCAGGTCAGGCGCAGGGCTGGCAGGAACCCAGTCAGCTCCCCACTGCTGCTCTCCAGGGTCTGCCTCTGCACGAAGCTGGAGTCAGATCCAGGAAGTGACCCTGAGTGCTTCAATCTGAGAATACAGTGTCATCCACCGCCAACTGCTCTTCAACAGGGGAACTGAAACAGCCCAGGGAGAAAGGATGGTCTCTCCAACAAATGCTCCTGCGAAAATTGGGTATCTGATTGCAGAAGCAAGAAACAATATCCTTTTCATCTTATATAAAACTCAGCTCTGTGTTGATCAAGGATCTGTGCCCAGACACCCTCAAATGACTAGAGTAAAACATAGGAAACACTCACAAGGCATTAGGCATGGGCAAAGACTCAGATAAGACGCCGAAAGCACAAGCAGTGAAACCAAAATAAACAAGTGAGGCTACATCAAACTAAGAAGCTTCTGCACTACAAGGAAATGGTCCCAGAAAGGGAAGAAGCAGTCAACGCAATGGGAGAAAGCAAGATGAGTTCTGCCTAACTCCAGTGAGATCGGCCTACGCACAGAAATCAACAATGATTGGTGAGAATATGCAGGGAAAAGGTACCTTGAGCCACTGTTGCTGGGAATGTAAACTAGCACAACTACCTTGGAAGTTAGCACGGCAAGTGCTCAGAACTGGGAACTGATCTAGATAACTTAAAATATGATCCAAAGGAAATGAAATTTGCATCTGAGAAAACAGTTTGCACCCTTAGGTTTACAGCAGTACAATTCACATTAGTGAAGACAAGACATGGGAACAGGTGTCTGTCAACAGAGGAATGGATAAAGAAACTGTTGTATAACAGCCATAGAAGAATGAAATCTTACCCATTTGCAATAAAATGGTCTCAACTGGAAATCATTACGCTTAATGAAGTAAGGCAACCCAAAAAGGACAATTATCATGTTCTAATGTGACAGCCAATGCACAAACATACACACATATATAAACTGTACAAGGGAGATTAGCACACCAGGAAGTAAGAACACTGTATAGTATGTGTTTTTACCACTGTATAAAAGTAGGACTCCCAGTGAAACTTGTAAATACACCTTGACATTACAATATCAGGTTTTCTACCTTTTACATATTAGAAAGTTAAGCCTGTAACTTGTATTAAGGCACTATTCTATTGTGATAACACAGGGCCAAATGGAGAGGGAGAAGCCCCTATACCTACAAAACTATGCTGTGGAAAACAATTAAACACTAAATAAAAACAATGTAAGTGTCTTTTCTGCTGGACTAAAATTCCACTCCCATAACCAAATGCTTAAACCCGTGATCCAGTCTTCTCATTACACACAACACCATAGTACCCAGACTGTCAGAATTAAACTAGTTGATGCTTGCAAAGCATTATAACAGTGCCTAGCCTGCAGCAAATTCTCCATGATAATTTCAGATTTTTAAAATTATCTTCTGACAGAAAATCTCAAAACCCCTATGTCTTAGTTTATTCAGCTTTGTGAGGAACTCAGGGGATTAAAACCTATGGTATTAACAAAGCCAGGGGTTATTATAAATCTAAAATTTTGGTAAAGTCTAATTTCACCAAAATTGGAAAGGTTTATCTTTCGTACATCTTCAGGCAAGGAAAACAAATTAGCACGTGGTGCTGGCATTGTGGCACAGAGTGTTCAACTGCTGCCTGCATGTCTGCCTACCCTGTAGGTGCCAGTCCATGTGCCAGCTACTCCATTTTCAGTTCAACTCCCTCCTGATGGTCTTCGAGAACAGTGAAAGATGGCCCAACTGCCTGGCCCTTGTGGCCTTTGGGCAATGTAGCAGCAGGTGGAGATCTCGGTCTCTCCTGTTCTTTCTAACTCTGGCTTTCAAATGAATAAAATCTTACAAAAAAAAAAAAAAGTAACACTGATAATAACAAAATTCCTATTTGTTGTAAGACAGCTATACTCCTATCTTATCTAACCTACCTAACTCTTCTGGACCTCTGCGAGTAACAATAGTTGATTTAAACTACAGGGTAATTGCTATAAGCTTAAAATAATTTCAATTTTAGGGATAAAACACAGTATATTGTCTGCAAGTTATTGTTTTTTTAGTTAACTGACTTACAGGTCTCAAATCCTAATCCTTGCACTTGTTAGTCATGAAACATCTGTCTTGGTTAAACACTCTGGGCGACATTTTTCCTCATATGTAAAAAATGCACATGATAAAACCTATCTTTGAGAATTATCCCAAAGATAACCTAGTTAACACAGGAACACACACCAGCAGGGCCTACCAAGAAATCATTTTTCAAAGAATGTTACCACAGGCATAAAATGGGCTAGATCTAACACCTCGTGTACAATTCAAAACTGAGTCTCAAACAACCAGGGACTCAAGGCCTGCAGAGGCTGCACTGCTCTTGGCAATGGACCTAGAACGCTGCCCATTTCCATTCTCCAGTCTGTCTGGAACTTGCTGTTGGTTGGCAATGCTTGAACCTGCGAGTACTGTGCTTTCTAGATGTTGGTCACCTCTACTCTGTGTGGGCAGGTAACAGAGCATGAAGCATGTCCAGATGCTCACCTGATTAAAGACGCACCTAATCTTCCATGGATGAGATGAGTGCGTCTTTGCGCACAAGGACAAAAGAGCATTCATCCTGCCTGCTCTTTCAGGGAACTACCTCACTCCCTCTTTGGTTTGTAGTTCTGTCAACAGACGTGTGAGTCTACATTCAGAAGACTGCTGAATTTTGAGAAAATGACCATTAAATATTGTATGAGGGAGCTATGAGCACCAGATTGTGTACATATCTATTTAGAAATGAAGAACACTTAACTGTGAAGATTCCAGTATGATTTAGTTTTCGGTAGCTTACCTATGTTTATCATTCCCTTTTGTTTAGTGCTCTGTAACACAATTTTCCTTTATTATTTTTCTGTATACATCTGACATGTCTTTGTAGGCTCTAAATTGTTTAACAGCACAAGTTATAGGATTACATACGTAAAAGGTGTTTAAATGTCTTTTGTAACTCCCTCTAAAAGAAACTGACAGCAAAAGTTAAACGCCCTGAAAAGCCAGAGGCTCTATTAAAAACCTTATTTCAAGGGCAGGCATTTAAAGATGCCACTGGGGAGGCTGACATCCCTACCTGAGTGATTGGTCCTTAGAGTCCCAGCTGCAACAGGACTATTTTGCCTTTACCTACTTATTACATGGTCTAAATAAAGTCGATGGTCTTGAAAAGTGGAAACAAAGTAATGTATCCATATCCTGAAGTACTTTGCCTAGAAAATATACTGACATATATGTGTGTGTGTGTGTAGGGTGGGTAATTAGCCTGGTGGTGAAAATATACTGACGTGTGTGTGTGTGTGTGTGTGTGTGTGTGTGTGTGTGTGTGTGTGTGTGTGTGTAGGGTGGGTAATTAGCCTGGTGGTGAAGATACCAGCGTCTTAGATCCAAATACCTAAGCTGGGTTCCCAGACATGGTTCCTGACTGGAGCTTACAGACTCTGGAAAGCAGCAATGATGGCTCAAGTAACTGGGTTCCAGAAACCCATGTGGGTGACTTGGATTGAGTCACTCGCCCTTGGCCTTAGCTCCTGTCCAGTCCTGGGAATTAGGGGCATCTAGGGAGTGAACAAGTAGGCGTGAGCGCATCTGCCTGTCCCTGCGGGCACATGTCTGTGGGACAGTCTTTCTGCCTCTCAACAGAAATTCAAAAAATTGTCTCATCAGTACAGGACTTCACTGTCCACGCTGCTTAACTTGTTCATTACATTATCACCAAGATCTACAGTGGGTAGTACACTGTAAATCAATTCCCATAAAAATTCTGAGTGGGCCCCCAGGACTATATGCATAAATATTAAATAACATGAAGCCTTCAATGACAGCACACAGCAATCTGAGAATATCACTAGCTTCCCCCTACACTATCCAAAGTGAAGACAGTCAGTGGTTACCAAGATGGTACAGGCCAGATGTCAAAATTATGTAGGCAGAAAGAACTATGAAACAGATCTTGTGTTACAACTAAAAACAAGATAAACATCACATTTTAACTAAATCCAGAGAGAACCCATTGTCCCAAAAGGATATTTGTACTAATTTATTCATATTTTCAGGATAAAAAACAACACATTATTATTGTTATTTTTGAATAGGGAGAGTTGGATACTTTAGATTTGAAGTTTTTTTAAAAGCAAAAATCCAATAGGTTCTCTCTGGCCTCCTACTTGGAAATTTTAAGCAAGTATATAACCTTATCATAATGTTTTATTTCTTTTTCAGGACAAAGTTGGCTAGAGAACAAAATAATAGTTATATAGCACACCTACCTTATACCCAAAATAAGACTAGCTTCTCGCCTGCTCATTTTCTGCTCAAATCCTCCTTTATAGTAGGATGAAAAGCTCTGCATAGAAAAAAAAGAGCAAGAAACAATTATTTCCATGTATGAGATAGCATAAACTCAATCCCAGTACACGCAGTCAGAGCACTGTATTTTACTAGAAGTCAATTCAAAACTGTAGGCGACAAACTATCAATGCTTTTCAAGAAACCTTGGCCAAGATGAACACTTACACTTTTTAATTTCAAAACACATTAATCTTTCTACACCGAGATATAACTGAAGGAACAATACATTGGTAAAAACAAAAATGTCTGAACTTTTTTCTAGGGTCTGCTACACAGACCTGGATTACTTTAACCAAGTCACTTAACATGTACATTGCACACATCTTGTCATCTTCTAAGGCCGCTGGCCGATAAAGGAGGATAGGAATTACAAAGTGGAGAGTACATCAGGAGAACAGAAAGGTAAGTCAGAGAAGCTGTGAATCCAGATGAGGTCTTTGTGGTTGGAAGGGTGCAAACCAGGTGGGGAGGAGGCTATGTGAGAGGTGATGGCACCCAGATTGTGGAGGGGCTTATAAGTAACAGAAAGACTCCCCAAAAGTAAGAGCCAGAATGGGTGTGGGCAGGCTGGGCAAGGACACTGTTCCTGCCAGGACAAGAGGTGGACAAGTCAGCCTGGGCCAAGGACCCTCCACTGTTCGTGAGATCTGCTGCTGGGAGGAGAACTGAGCTCCTCTGTCAGGATGCAGTTCCTGCAGATAAGCGCAAGAATCAAGGCAAGGGGCAGCTCAGACCAGGTGAGGTTACTATACCCACTGGCATACATGTGGTACAGGTATGGTGCTCGACCAGTTCATAACATCCACTGGCAGCTCTGAGCCAGGACAATGTACAAGATGGTCTAAACTGGACTGCAACACCAGCCAGTCCACATTTCGGCCAGGACTGGGGGCTGGCCAGGCCAGGATAAAATACATCACCCACCAACAGGAGCTGGAACTGGGAGTAGAATGGACTGCAGCACCCGCTGTTGGATGCCTAAGTGAGGTGAGCCATGCTAGTCTGGGTACAGGAGGTGCCAGGTCCATGAGCCCAGGAGGCAGGGGTGTCCAATGGGGCACAGGTCACCTGCCCCCGATCCTTGGGCCCACCTGCAAGAACTGGTCCTCCTCTGTGTCAAAGAGCAGTCAAGAGCAGGCCCTAATGCACATGGAGGATACGGCAGCCCATTAGGACCTGCAGAGGACATCTGGTACCACAGCAGAGAAAGGAGAACAGAACAAATTGGAATAACTACCCCCAGTCAAATGATGACAGCAAAAATCTGCACAAATGGAGACTATAAGGTTGACTGTGTCAGCAAATGGACATTGGAAGAGTTTTCTCATCCCTGGATCAAGGAGCTCAATAGCATTTCCAAATTACCGAAACCACCTGGGCAGAACTCTGAGCATGTGCCACATCAGGAGCCTGGGTTGATACTGGGTGGCTGTTCATCCTCAGGTACTGGAGCGGTTGGGAAGCTGGGTATGGCTTCTCTCTTTATCTCCCCACTTCCCCCAGAAACAGGAAGAAGGAAAAGAAAATTGGAAATAATGATTACACCCATTCTCCCCTAACCCTCAATCCTTCCCAGCCTGATCAACTATGTAAGCATGTCAAAAATAAAAATTTTTAAAAAGTATAAACAATAGAAAAAACTAAGGATCTTATTTTAAGTGAAAGGTGAGGCTGTAGTACTGGAATAATGACTTGGTTCTGGAAGAATCACTCCAATGCTACATGCAGAAAACTGCATCACAGGAGAGCAGTTAAAAACATCCAACAATATTCCATGCAAGAGTTGATGAAGGCATACACTCAAGTCAGAACAAACGAACTGCTCTAACAGTGGTCACACTGTGTATGTTATCTGAAAGCATAACTAATATGCTAATATTCGATGAACTGAATATGGGACATGAGGAGAAAGCATGATACAGGGGCTGGAGCCATAAATGGTACTAGCAATACTGGCATTCCACATAGGCACATAGTTCAAGTCTTGGCTGCTCCACTTTTTTTTAAAAAAATTTATTTTTATTGGAAAGGCAGATATACAGAGGAGGAGAGACAGAGAGAAAGATCTTCTGTCCGATGGTTCGCTACCCAAGTGAGCTCAATGGCTGGAGCTGAGCCAGTCCAAAGCCAGGAACCAGGAGCTCTTCCGGGTCTCCCACACGGGTGCAGGGTCCCAAAGCTTGGGGCATCCTCAACTGCTTTCCCAGGCCACAAGCAGGGAGCTGGATGGGAAGCAGGACCACTGGGATTAGAACCGTTGACCATATGGGATCCCGGCATGTACAAGGTAAGGACTTTAGCTGCTAGGCTATTATGCTGGGTCCAGCTGCTCCACTTCTAATCCACCTCCCTGTTAAAGTACTTGGGAAAGCAGTAGAGGATGGTCTAAGTGCTTGGGCCCTCTCACCAATGTGGCAGACCCGGAAGAAGCTCCAGGCTCCTGCATAAGTCTTGCAACTAAAGAGGATGTACACTGGCAGATAGCTCTCACACTTTGGAAATTGATTTGCCTGAACAGAGTCAACCTCATGTCCATTTCCCAGAGAAGCCTTTTTCAAATGACTTAGCATTGGGGTATAGATACTGCAGCTCCAAAGGACAGGCCTTGAAGACTGCCCTGCAGCCTGCCCGATTCCTCCAGCCTTTCTTCCCTTCCCTTCTGGCGCTGCTGACTCGAGGAGTACACCTGCTCAAACTTACAGCTCACCTTTATCCCACTCTGCCTTTCAGGGAATTAAACCACATGAAAAACAACATTTCTGGCCTAAACTGCCTGACTGGCATTTAATGACTTCTGGAAGGAACCACAGCTTTTTGTGAGTAATAGATATGGGAATGGTTTTGAATTTATGATGTTTGAAGTGTCAGTTAAATATCAAAGTGGAAGAGAAGTCAGACCCAGAAATAACATTGGACAGACATCATTTAAAGGCATACACAAGGATGAGATTACCCAGGGTAAAAAGACCATGGACTCAAACCTAAATATATTATTTAGTGACACACAAAGAGAGGGCAATCAATAAAGGAAGCAGAGAGAGATTCCACAGTGAGGTAGGAGAAAAAGTAAGTTAAAGCTACCGAATAAACTTAACTGATAGGTAAACTGAGTTAAGAATGGACATCTGGGTTTAGCAAAGAGAGTCAAAGTCATGAAGAATTAGCAGAAAAGTGCTGTAGGTTTAGTCATTGGAGTGAGTTTAATACAGAATAGATGAAACCAGGTGTTACCACAAAACCTGTCATCACTCACGGGTACAGGAACCGATAACAGTCTGACAGTCTGGGCAGGTCCAGGATGCAACCCCCACATGTACATCTTAAAACAGCGTGTGGGGGAGGCCAGGCCCCAACGCTCCCCAGCTCATACAAGGCAAAGATGGAAGGGCACATTTTGCCAGGCAAGGGCCTAATACACACTGGGCATGTATGAGATCTGGGTCTGGGCGTGGGTCAAGTGGGGAAACATGGCAAACTCCCCTGGCAGGTCATAACTCCTGCTGGTGATCAGATGATCCAGGCCAGGGGGTCAGGCAAGCTGGGCAAAGGAGCTCCAATGGTTGGCTAATATGTGGGTTTTAAGGAGATGGACCGGGCAGGACCAACCAAACCTTAGCTCACCAGCAAGAACAGAAATCAGCCTGGAGTGCAGGTCATGTCGGGCTAGGCTGTCACACCTACTGGTTTTTATGAGTCAGGGATGAGAGCAGACTGAGCAAGGCCAGTTTGCAGCATCTACCACCAAGAGCTAGGACTGGGGAATAGCTGGGCCAGGCCAGGCTGCAGCAGTGGAAGGCAAAGGCCAAGACAGGAGAGGGACTATGCCAAGCTGGGTCAGAGCACCCACTAGCATGTGCAAGATCTGTGGCTGGGAACAGGCCTAGTTGGGGAGCTAAGAAGATACCCTGACAGGATTAGGGTTCCCAGTGGTGAGTGCGGGGGCCAGAGTGAGAGCTGTGTTCTGGTCTCGATACGAATGCAGTGTTGCTCGGCAAAAGTGTGGACTGGGGCTGGATGTACCAGACTGGGCTAGATTCCAGCATCATCTGGTGCTCTGGAGGACCAGGGTAGATATAGAATGGACTAGGCTAGGCCTGTGCCCCTACTGAGCCATGAGTGAGCCTTGTCTGGGTATGGACAAGCCTTGGCTGGGCTGAAACATCCAACAGTAAGAACTGGAATGGGTTGAAGGCCAGTCAGGAAAGGCCACTGTTACTGCCAGAACAGGATGTGGACTAAGTAGGGATGGCCCATGGACCCATGGGTACGCGCAAGATCTGGCAATGGGAGAGGTTCTGATGGAGGAGCTTGGGAAACTCCTCTGTCGGGACACAAAGCCTGCAGGTGAGCGCAAGAACCACAATAGAGAGTAGCCCAGATCAGGCCAGGAAATTGTGCCCAGCTGCATACATTTGGCACAGGTCAGGAGCGGACCAAGCTGAACCAGTTCACATCACTTGCTGGAGAATCCAAGCACCAGAATAGAATCTGGGTCGAGCTGGGTTTGGTCGCAACACGTATCAGTAGACATTACGGCTGGGGCTGGGTGCTGGTGGTTCTGTCAAGTTAAACTGCAGAAACACTTGGAGAGTGCATGATTCCGGAAGTGTGTCCATTAGGGAAACAGTGAGCACCTACTTCTTGGGTTACTATTCCCACTGGAGAGCATGAGAACCATGACTGGGATGGCATGCCTAGACAGAAAGGCACCTGCCAGTATGCATGGCGGTTGAATAATGGGGTTGGTTGGGTTGAATTACACTCAATTGTTGATTGCCATGTATGAGAACTGAATGGGATGTGGGACACACTGAACAAGTCTGTTGTACATACTGGCAAGCACAAGAACCAGGACAGGGTGTGAGAGTGGTGGGGGTTATTGTGGGTCACTTCAACTAGGCTGCAGCTCCTACTGGTATGCGTGAGAGCTGAGTGTGTACTGGGCAGAATCAGGGTATACTGCAACACCCATTGGTTTGCGTAGAAGACAGGGCT